GGGCGTTGTACCCAGCACGGTACCGAGTACTTTAGTGACGTGGCATTTTGTTATTGATTTCTGGATGCATTCGGTAACCTGACGGAATAATCACTCTCCCAGAGGCAAGTATTTCGCTTCGTATTTGTTCACAATTTCTCTATTTTATTTATTTTTAGTCAACAAAACCATTTGGATTGCTTTGGAGTTAGGGCCTTAGTGATCCATGAAGGAGGTACCAAGTGTTTTACTAATCAAAAAAGTGTATTAGGCTTGTTTGTGATCGAAATGAAGAAAACATTGGCGAAGACATGTAGCAATCAAAATGATGAAAAGGAAATAGGAACACAAACTTGTGAGAATCGATTACAAGAGGAGAGAGATAATTTGCTAGTTAAAGAGGGAGGAGATAGGAGGAAATTTAAGAATTAACTATAAATTCTAATGCATAATAATTATAAAAAAAAAACTTCGTACCCTAGTTATAAAATAGGGTAAATTCAAAACTATTCATACACAATCTCAAATCTAATACTATTATAAAATTGATATTTATACCTACGATAACCCAAAAGGATAATTTCTACATAAATTAGATCAAAATAAATATAATTAAATTCATCAGCCGGTATATAAAGCAACAAAGAAATGTAAATTTTTCAATACAAATTCAAATGAAGAAAAAGTTAGGTGCTAATAGAGGTAAAAAGTGAGCAAAAATATTTATAGCCTCATATCACATGATTAAAAAGTGACTATTTTTCTCTCTCCCAAGAAAATAGTGAGATTCAAATCCACCTAAAGAAAGAAAAAGTCTTTGCTTATAGTAAAGTCTATTTGGCCAGACTAAAACTTGATTTCAACAAAAAAATTATACAATTTTCAAGCAATATTTCATCTTAGCTCTAAACTCTTCCACCAGTAATTATTGTAGGAGGTTAGTTTTTATGAGTAATTTGGGAGGAATTTTGAAGATAGGTTTCAGGGGATGTTATTTATTTATTTATGTATTTTGGTACCTATGAATACGTACTTAAATATTCATTTTTTAGCAGTTGAAGATGCTATTGCTTCTCTATATTGAAGTTTAAATTTCACTAATTTCTACTCGATAATCTAATTATAAAGTTTAATTCTATTTGCCAATTAAGTACAATTTTAAAGATTCTACTCTTCATTTCATTCTATTTTTATTTTTGTTTAGATTCTATATTATAATTTTAACTCTTTCATTTTGTTCAATGTTTTCATTTTTTTTGGTTCAACGATGGGAGTGATATATTACTCAAGACAAAGGGCACTACCCAGCTGAGGAAACTCAAGGGTGCCTATGGTGATCAAAATCATCAATTAGCTACGTTCATTTTATTCTTCTTTTATGGTTATATGCTTCGTGGTGAACATATCCCATATTAACTTCAAAGGATGAATTAAAATATTAACTTCAAACAACAAGGCCATTGTACAAGAAATATTTTCTTGTAAATTACTAATAATAAAATAGGTTACAAATTTTATCATAACTCAAAAAGATGGATTCAGAACAGAAATATAACTTTAGGAATATTTGGCTATTTCTAGTTATAAATTAAGACTTAAAAATTATGAATTTTTTTACCTTTCTTAGTATTAAGTTTAAAATCATTATATTTAGATGATTTGTAGAGTTTAAATTTCATGTTACTTTGTAAGTACACCACACAAATGATAAAATTTATTCGCTTTACAATTTTTAATTTGCCTTATTATCTACAAGCAAACAAATATGCCCCCATGGTTCATTCGATTGCTTATAAATATAAAATGCACAATTAGTAGATAAACATGCACCAAGTAAACAATAAGACATCCAGACCACTTATTTATGTCATAAAAAATAAATTATGATTTTTAAAATAGAATTCAAACAAAACATGACTTACTTTGTAAAAATATACAACAGCAACAACAATGGGTACTTGTTTTGTAAATATATAGGAAAATTGAAATTGAGTGTTTTTTCAGATCAGTTCACCATTTAAAACTAAGAAACCGATCATTAGGTTACAAAAATAAAATTTAATGAACCAATATACATTGATTAAACAAGTAAAATTGAATGAATCAAATCAATTTTTTAATAAATCAAAATATAAATGAAAACATTAATAAATACAATTTAATTTAATTAATTAATACATCAATTTACTAATCAATGCATTTACTCAAAATTTTATCAATCAAAATTTTACTCAACATGAAAAACATTTATTTTATTTTTTTTAAGGTTGCAAGATATTTTAAGATTATTGCTATTTTGTGAGGTAGTAATTATTGTGTGGAAGAATATTCGCAGTAGTAGAGATAGAAAGATTATTGTCCTAGCATTGTATGAAGATCCAACACACCAATAAAAAAGTTCCAAAAGATACTAGTGTTTTTAGTGGAAAATTAAAAAAAAAAACATGAGGCATGGTCTAGTTGAAATGATTCTACTACTATTTGTAATCGATTGCAAATAAAATCCTTCCCATGATTAGGGAAAGTGATGATAAAATATAGTAGACATCCAATGTATAGAAATAGTTCATGGTGAAAGTCGGAAGAGCCATGTAGCATGGGAGCTGTCTTTAAAATATCGTTTGTTGTTTGTTAGATTGTTCTCCTCTGAGGATGGGAGATAAAAGATCAAGAAGTTCTACATAAATCTTGCTACTGACATTAGGGGTCAGTGTTCATGTCGACGACAAACATTAATCTACTGGTGACAGCGAGTAGGGATGTCAATATTTGACATAACCCAAAAACTCGACCCAAACCTGACCCAAAAATTCAGGGTTCGATCGACCGGTTTGGAAAATGAGTCAGGTTCAGGTTTTATGTTCTGACCCATTTCAAATTTCAAATCAGGTTCGGGTCAATCCGAAAACCCGAAACTGACCCGAGTCTCCAGCCCGCAACACTCCGCAAAAGTCCCACCCTGTGCTTGCCTCCATGGCCTGTAGCATGTGCTCGGGCTTGTAGCCTCGTACTTGGGCACGCCTGCATAGCCTACTCAGCCCACCCTCGCGCTACCAGCATACGCGGCACGCGCTCGCAACTGCAATTTAACGGGTCGGGTTGGGTCAATCAAGGTTAGGGCAGGTCGAGTCCAGTTTGAATTTCTGACCCGTTTGTCTAATCAAGTTAGGTTTTGGTCAGAGTAGTTGAAGGCGGGTCAATTTTGGGCTGGATCGAAACCCGACCCAAAGACCCATTTTAACACCCCTTATAGCAAGTGACCAATCCAACAGGCGTTAGTATGGCCAGGTGCCAGTAGTCAGAGGATAGTAGTCCGACAACGGTGTTCAAAGGACATGGATGGGCAAGTGGTCGTAGGATTGTAGTTGGACAATTGTGGTCGAAGGACCATAGTCATACGGCATTGGTATGACAATAATCGGGCGACGGTGGTCAGTAAACTATAGTGAGGTAATAATAATTGGAGGATCATAGACAAATGACAATTGTCGAAGGGTCATAGTAGGGTAATGGTGGTATGAGGATCATAGTCGGGAAATGGTGATCTGACAATTATAGTCAGGCAATGGTGGTCGTTGGCGATGATGGCGATCAGCAGTGGTGGAGCCTCGGAATTCTCCAACATCTAAGCTCTCTTGAATCTCAAACTAAATGTCCAAACTCCCCTTCATATAAAGTGTGGGAGTCTATTTATAGGTTTTTGTGAGTGATGCATCATAAATATAAACAAAATTCCAAACTGTCCATTGGACGGCATGTATTGCATACGTCGATCATAGACGATTTTTCAACATTTAAATGCCTTAATTATGACAAAAACAATTGATGAATTTAGGTTTATTGGATTCATCTCATCGATACACTTGATTTGATTATATCCATACGAGATTTGGATATCATTTTGACCTCAAAATAATGCTCGAGATTTTTAATTATGCTACAGTGCTTGATTTGGGCTCATTTAAAGTTGAATCAAATCACTTTACATTCGATAGGCCGCCATGTCAAGACTCTAAGTTTGATTATAAGTTTCATAAAATCAAAGTTCGAATAATCCTAAATTTAACTCTGAGTGTTCCAATTCAAATCTGCATTGGATTCGTGCCCGATCAAGTTGATTTTTTTTATGACATATCAATAATAATAGGACATTAATTATTAAATATAAAATATATTAATAAAGTAGCAATATTCTCTTAAAAAATTATATGCATATTATTTCAACTTCAAATTTTATTTTTTAAGTTAAAAAAAATAAAATAAAATAAAGAAAATCATTGTTTTTTTTAATATGAAATAGTGCTAAACTATTTCTTCAAATTATTATTAATTTTTCAAATCTTACGAACATGCACTTAGAGCACACACAATCAAAATAGATCCAAGCCCTAATATAATCATCATTATCATCATCATCAAGTTGATCACATATATGTGGAGACTTTCCTAGCCCTGACTTAAAGAATACTTAAATCAACTATTAACCTCTTCTATTAATTTTATTATCAAAAAAATTAAATTAAAACTAATTCTTAATGAACTTTGAACATTTGACAAGGTTTTAATAAAACTATCAAATTTAGCATTTATAGATATTAATTCAATAAAAACTTTTCTCATGGTCAAAGTTCATTAAGCATTAATTTTCATGGTAGCAAAATGAAAATAAAAGAGGCCAATAATTGATCTAAGAATTCTTTAAATCGGGGATTGGAAATTCCTCACAAAATACATGTGATTAGCTTGATGATGATGATGATGATGATTATATTATGGCTTGGATCTACTCATAGTATTACAATTATGCCTTCCATGAAATATAAGGGCAAGTTTAAGATTGTAAAGAAATTAAAATGACCACATGGACTAGTTTGTATAGGCAATGCAAAGAGAATGTCAAACCATGATAATGTCATCTATTAAAAAAAAGAAAGGTTTATCCATCTTATGGATAGGGAATAGGTGAATTCCAAACCTGCATATTCTAAATAACTACTATAAAGAGAATGATAAAAACATACCTCACAGCCATCTCTGGTTTACACTTTTCAACAAAGAATCTAATAGTATCACCAGGATCCGAAATGTCTTTGATAAAGAGACCATAGCCTATATATTTAAAACAAAAAAACTTGATAGTCAAAGCTTGGTTTCCACATAAATCATTACCATAACCCTGTCAAAATTTTCAAAATCATCCATTTTGCCTTCCGCTAAAACAAAAAAAATTGATGGCTTGTATAACATCAAGGTAAAGTTTCCTTTTCCTTATTTTCTTTGGGAACTCCACATCAAAATATTGTGAAAATCTAACTTTTTGGTGATTATATGGTCAAGGTTCATGTGTGGCATTTTCAAGAAAATGACTTTACAACAGTAAAACACATCCACCACCCCACCTCCAAGCTCCTTTGAACATATGCCACAGGAAACGAAACAAATCAAAAACTTCCTCCTTTGGTTAACAGGAACTAGGGCAAATATTTCCAGGCAATTACCACATAACAGTCTGCCCTTTTAGTTCAAATAGGTTACCCAAGTCACATATGACATAGGAACATGCACTTCCTTTGAAGATAAAGGATGCTCAAAAGCTAAACCAAAGCTCTTAAGAATAAGAAGCAAAACAATTTTAATATGGTAAAACAATATATAAAAGAAAATTCAACTTATATGCCCCTTAATAGAAGAAATTGGAAAATATGCTCACTGCTTATTTTCTTGGAGAAATATAATCGAATTTGCTCTTGACTAAAATACACTCAATAACGGATAACTGTGGACCGCTTATTAAAGTCTAAGTATATAAAATTGATTCAAATATGATTCGATCATTCATCGAATGTGATTCAAAGATGGATGGATCGCAGTTCGAAAATGATTAGCTCAAAGTTGGTTAAAAAATGATTCAAGATGGTTCAATTATAGTATGAAAATTGTAAGATCATTATTCAATTGTGAATCGAAAATGGACCGATCATGATATGAAGAATACTTTATCATTGTTTGATCATTGTTCGAAAATTGTCCAATCATTTCTCGATAATGAATTATATCCCAGGCTAATACAACAGAGAGTGTAATCACAACAGCTATGGCACAACAACATTCATTTGACAAATTCTATAAATTGATTGTAAGAGAATTTATCTGTAAACTTATAACAACCATAACAACATCTGCATCATCCATAATAGAATTCTATGAACTAGTATAATAATAGAATAAAGTACATGAAAAATTAATTTTTATATCAAAATGATAACTGAACTCTATATTATTGTGAAATAAATCTATAAATAAATTGTCCCCAAAGAATTGTATTCAATCAAGAGTTAACCATTATAAGATTCTTTTCTTTTAATCATGTATATTAAATGTTGTATTGCAAACACTCCAAAGTTGTCGCAGCAAATAAGACATAAAGCAATCATGAGACTGTATGTCCAAGAAATACGTAAATTAAATTATCCTAAAATATAAGATAGATTACCTTACTATATTAGTCTGATCTCACAAGTGTAAGCCTCTTCCATATCCAAGAAGATTTAAGGAATATAAGTGCAGATTTTTTTGTCAAATAATCATAACTGCTCAAGCAGCCAAGAGAAGCTTTTGTAAGGAGAAATCGTCATTCCCTATAAAGTCTGCAATGTAGTGTAAGAAGAATCACAGTCACAATGCCATAGACTTCATAAGAAATGAGATCCCCACATATCATCCAATAAACTTTGTTCCAGTTCATTGACAAATAAAGACCGTTATGCAACTTCAAAAATTTATGCTCATCTCCGATGACGTACATGAGTGTCACATCAAGTCACCTGAAGGACTCATTTGTTTTGAGCTTAATCAAGCAGAGAGGATCAATGACACATCAATTCATAGGCTTCTGCCACCTTTTCCTTGATGAATTTCACCAGTTGGTTTGTTTTTACTCTTTTGCTGTCTTCTTTTAAACTCTATATGTTTTGCATCATTTGTTTTCAAAATTATAATAGATGGACAAACAACCTCCTTATTTGTATATATAATGGTAACGGGATGATCCGCTAAATTCTCCATCTCATGGTCTATACATTAAATATCGAAGGGTTGATCTCTTGACTCATCCCCAACTTTACCTACATATACAATGGCAAGGGACTGAACACCTGACTCCAACTCCTCTTCCAACTCTTACTCTACAACCTTCTCCTACTGTACCTCATTAAAAATTGGCTTAGTAGCAGCCACCTTCTCACTTTTCTTATCCAACTCCATTTCTGAACTCCATATCGATGATGGAAATCTGCTTCACCGCCACTTGAGATTGAATAAACTGACTTGCAACTGGCTAAACTTCCAGTGCCTCCCTTACTCTCTCCTCAAAAATAAGGGTGCTCGCTTTCCTCTTTATAATTCTGATTGGGATAGCTTAAGAGAGAGTATATACAGTGGACTTATTGAAGTCATCCTCGTTAGCTTAGAAAGGATAACTCCCGACCAAAAGAGAGGTATAAAGTACCAAGGAAAAAATTAAATATCTGCCACATTAAGCATAGAAAATAATAAAAAAAAAATAAACATTTGCACTCTAATTCATAAGCAATAATAGAAAATATTTGCCCGTGAGCACCTTGTTGCTCCTCACACTCAGTATCCTTGGTACTCTCTACCAAGAAATTAAGCACTCTTACCCAAGTTTGGAATGGCGCTTTGTAAGTCCAATATTATACAGATATTGCATATCCATTTACCATATATTGGGCCAGGGAATCCTTTTTTACTGCATATCCCTCATAGAATACCATGTCCCTATTCAACTATAGTAATGTCTTCTCCTATGACATCCTATCCCATGGGTATCTAAAAAATATACCCTTTTTTTAACCATAAGAACCATTTTAGTGAAGATGACACTTGCTTATAATGGTTGAGGAGAATATCATCTACTAAAGAAGCACAGTCCAAACTTCTATGGATCATCTTTGTTAATGCACTTCATGAAAATATTTTCAAGATCTATGTTTTTAAAATTCTTGTTCCCATCAAAATAGCTCTCAAATAACTTGCTGCTGATTGTCATCCTATTGAACTCATCTTTAATTGGAAACTCTTCAAAACACAACTCAAACACTAAAGCAAGCACAATAATCCTAAAGGTTATATTATTCCCTCTAATATTAAAAATGATAGAGTACTCATCATTAATCATCCTCAGTTAAAACTGTTAAATGCGAGCACCAGAGAGAGCTCTAAAGAAGTGCCTAAATGTAGATCTTTTAGTATGACCAATATGGTCATTAGCTACAAATTCCCAACAAGTTTCTCCATAACCTCTAACTCTATGTTTAACTCGAGCACTGCAATGCCTTGCAATGGGTAGGATTAAATCAAACATCTACATAGCAAAATAACACAAATGAGTAAATCCTAAAAGAGGTTATGCGGAAAAAAACAAATATCTTTGAACTACCATCAATAATTATTGAACAGTCGTGGATTATGATTGAAATATCTTCGAGAATGATCAAATCATCAAGATTGACCAAAATAATCGACCAATTCAATTAGTCTTCATAATGTCTTCAAACCACAATTTAGCAATATTCAAACCAACTTCAACACATAATAACCTTATTCAAACCATATTTGAACACTTACTCAAAACTTCTTCAACCATTCTTCATCGATATTTTGACTTGATTGATGAAAAGTCAAACATATGTTTCAATAAGTGTTCAAATAAAGGATAAAATGTGGGTTGAAGATGTAATGAAGACTCATTGAATAGGTCGATTATTTTGGTCAATCTTGATGGTTTGATCATTCTCGAAGATATTTCAATCATAATCCACGATTGTTTAAAAATTATTGATGATAGTTCAAAGATATTTTTTTTGTCCGCATAACCTCTTTTAGGATTTACTCATTTGTGTTATTGTGCTATATAGATGTTTGATTTAATCCTACCAATTGCAAGGCATTGCAGTGCTCGAGTTAAACACAGAGTTAGAGGTTATGGAGAAACTTGTTGGGAATTTGTAGCTAATGACCATATTGGTCAAAAATGATCGAATAACTCTTGAATTAAATTTGATCACGGTTTGAATATTGTTAAAATTGTTTGATAATAATTTAATCATCTTTCTAACAACAAATGTAGTTGAAAGATGGATTTAGCATGACAACTAACACATGAACTAAATTCTAAATGCTAAAGGGTTTGGAGTTTAGAGTGCGAAGCAAATTTTACACCCTAAAAAACAAATCAAAAAATATCATTAACCTTCAAAGACAATGAGTACAGAGAGATCATTGCCATGAATTTTAACCACATGCCAAGGACAACATTCCACAATCTCCAGAAATGGACAAGGTCATGGGAAGAGGCAGAGTTGAGGAAATATTATATTGAACATTTGAAAGCCAAAGTTATAAAATTTATTTTAGGAAAGTATTTTTAAGAATAAAAGAAGAAATGGATTGTAACCTTCTCCTATGATTTTGTTTCCTAATTTTAAAAAAAAAAAATATTCTCCTATGATTTTATTTCCTAAATTTTAAGAAAGAATTAAGCTAGTTAATTATTTCCTTTATTAGACATGTTTGTGTATGTATGTATGTACACACACACACACACATATATATATATATAGCGAGAGAGAGAGAGAGAGAGATGTAAATGTAGTACTATTTTTTAATAAGAAGAATAATAAATTAAGAAATTCTTCATGGAATCAAAGTTAGTTCACTGAACCCTAATCCCTTCAGGCCGCCACTCTCTGGCAGATTCTTTATCGTCATCTCTTCTCTGTTTCTCAGGTCGATTCTCTTTGGCCAGTGTTCTTCCCGACCTTCTTCTATATATCCAGCAATCTTATTCGTTCTTCTCCCTCATCTTCTTCGCAATACAAATGATCTCATCACAAACATCCGACATCACGGCAGTTCAAAAATTCCAAACCTTAGTGGCAGTGATTCTTCTCTTATTCTCATCATAAGACACAAATTAAATTGTCATAATTATTTGCAACGGTCACAATCTATGTTGTTCATTTTTGGAATGGGAAAGGTTGAGTATATCATGGGAGCAGCATCCATGTCAGAGACTACAAATTTGAGTT